GATTTCGCCCCCCCCCCCCCCCCCCCCCCCCCTCTCGAACAACCAAACCCTAAACACGCAGGCTGCTCCTCGGAGAGCTGTTTCGAGTGCTGCCTCAAGTCCGGCAAGCCCTGCGAGGCGCACGCCAAGCAGGTGGAGCGGAAGCACAGGGAGGACGAGCTGCTGCTGGGAAGAAGGTCGTCGGGCGGTGGCGGTGGCGGCGGGGCCGGCGGCAGCTGTGGCCTGATGTCCCCCGGTCTCCCGGGAGGGGCCTTCGACGATGGGGCGGCTCCCAGGGCACGGCTCCCGCCAGGGGCATTCAAGGAGGCCGCCTTTCAAGGTTAGGAGAGAGCGGGGGGGAGGGGAGGGGCGGGTGTACTCTCAATGTTGTGCATGCCTTAGCTGTTTGCGTGTTCGTCTCACGTACTTGTATTCTGGCGCCATTCACGCACCCCGGTCTTTTTTATATTTGAGACGTACAGATCAATCAGGCAAGCAGGCAAGGGTTGTATGTGTGATCAATAACAAGTTGACCCTTAGTCTTCTGCAGACCCCATGTTTGCACGACACAACAGCGTGCAGCTGAAGAATATTTTTTCTTTTCTTGTTTCTCGCCGCTGCTGCTGCTGCTGCTGCTGCTGTGCCACAGCTACAGGAGAGACGGCTACGCTGTGGTGCCTCAAGGACTTCGTGTGCGGGAAGGACACGCAGACGGCTATGGAAACCCTCAACAGGACAGAGGTACGTACGTACGTTGTTTCATTCACGGGGCCCCCTGTGTTGGATTTCCGTGGGCGCGGTGGCTTGCGTGGTGGTGTTTGCTACGAAATAGAGAGAATAAATCAGCAATGTAAGCCTTTCCCCCAAGATGAAGATGTTCCGCGTGCCGTACAGACGTTTTTCGTCCTTGTGTTGTGTAGGATTTTTTCTCGTGTAGTTGTTGGTCTTCGCTGCTACTAACTATTTATTGGCGTTGATGTCAGTGCTGATCTTGCCGTTGTTTGCACAAATTGTTCTGATCCAATACATACCTCCTTCACGGTTTCACAGGGTCACAGGCGCGACCCTAGATAAGTTGCGTATTTAAGCCATGAAAAACGAACCTGGAGAACATAAAACAGCAGTCGCGTGTTCTTTCGCGAGTAAAAGAATAGCACGTCATGTGTTGACATCCACTTTCCAGTCGTTGAGGGGTACCCCCACACACGCGCCCTTGTGCCTCTCTTTCAGCTCAACATCCCCCCCCCCGCTGTATCGAGGTCAGTGGTGTAACGACTACGGCATGCTCGGCTATGAGCTCACCCCCCTGTATCGGTCCTAGCCG